CATACCGGTGATCTCCGCAGATACGAAAACTCTGGCCTTTGAGAGATGTGAGAGATCCGAAGGTGTCTAAGGACCTTCGAGATGCGGAGGGAGGTAAAAAAAAAAAAAAATAATAACTATATAACAACTCATTTCATATACAAATAAATAAATATAAACTATATGCAAGAATAAATTCTTAGACAATTATCTGTGATCTAAACTTACTAAAGTAGTTAAGACTCATCTAGATTTGAATTAATTAGTAATCCATGAGTTAGCCAGAGAGTAATCATAATAAAATGTGACTCAGATTACTATATAAATTTACTATAGTGCGAATGTGGCCTGCACAAATCTAAAACTTTTTTTATACTAAGTTAATCACCCTTCTTGATTAAGAGACTTTTGTAGAGCTTGCCAAGACGCATCTAATGGTGGTTAGAACATCAAAATTAGCCTGGTAGGTGCCAAAATATCTTTAAAAAACTTTTCTTTTACTATATAAACTTTTTTAAAAAAATATTATTGTTTTACAAAGAAGTTTATATAGTAAAATAAAGGTTTTTTAAAGATATCTCAGCACCCACCAAGCCAATTTTGACGTTCTAACCACTATTAGATGTGTATTGGCACGCTCTACAAAAATCATTTAATTAAGAAGAGTTATTAACTTAGTATAAAAAAAGTTTTAGATTTATGCAGGCCATATTTACACTATAGTAAATTTATATAGTAATCTGAGTCACATTTTACTAAAATCACTCTCTGGCTAACTAGTAAATTACTAATTAATATAATTTTGTGAATTTTAATATTTTTTATCTCTTAATCTGTATTCCAGGCAAATTTGCCTAGAAAATTTAAAACATTTAGTAAATTTCTATATAGCACTAATTCATATTAATTAAAGACCCCCAACGCATGATTTTCTATAATTAAAAGAACCTGCACAATCATTTGATAATAAAATTTCTAGGCAAATTTGCTTGGAATATAGCACAGAGCAATTTAGAAGTTAAAGAATGCCTGTGATCGACAGACTTAAATTAGCATTATCGTAGCACCCACATGCGTTACTCTTTTAAAGGCCGATAAATGCATAATGATAAGAACCTAAATTAGCACTACTGCAGTACCCTAGGTACATATGTATGTACGTTCATGTATACATGCCTTTATTGTTTCCATTATTGTTATCAAGAAATCGTACGTATGTACGTGCATATTTGGATCATAACTATTCTTTTGGTCCTTCGTCGCATGTGAAATGACACTTAAATATTTTGGTGTATTTAAAGTGACTCTAAATTAAAATGCTGAATAATCGCTTTGCAGAATATAAATAAACTGAAGCAAGTGGTTGTGGGATTATTATAGTACCTTGAGGTAGTTAATAAACTATCGTTTGCTTGTATGCTATTATTTTTTTTCGCTGTTCTTGTTCTTTATTATATGATAAGTCTCCGGTTGGGACAAAGTGCAGTAGTCTCATATTTGTCGCTTAATGGCTCACATACAAACCTAACTACTTGACAATTTGTCTCATTAACCTACGTTAATTACGTTCTTTTATCATTCTAAAAATAAAAAAAATTCGTTTACCAAAATTCATTTACTATATACTTTTTTTGTTAAAAAAAAAGTTTCGTGGTAGCACTCCATTTATTTTTTTATTTTATTGAAAAAAACAAATTCGTTAAATCGGCAATATATATATTTTTTTGGTATCAAAAATAATAATAACAATTAAATAAAAAATAAATAAACCTTTACTCATGTCTTTTGATGATACAGCTTCTGATGAAGATTTTGACCTGCAATATTTAATTACTTTCAAACATAACTACTACAGTGAACTGATAATTGATCATGAACTAGTAAGAGTTACTGTAAATGCAATAAATGAAGAACAAGAATTCATGGAAGAATCAGACGAAGATACAAATATAGAAGTGAGCACTGGAAGGGGTAGGGGAGAGGTAGAGGTAGAGAGAGAGGTAGAGGTAGAGGAAGAGGTGAAGGAAGAGGTAGAGGTAGAGGTAGAGGAAAAGATAAGGGTAGAGAAAGAGATAGGGATGAAGAACAAAGTAACCATTTAGATTCAGAATTATCATTATTAGAACACCACTTTTAATCCTATTCAAAATATCTATCCACTCCATAGAGGATATACAACACTTCCCTATGAACTTCAACTAGGCATCATATTACCACTTTCGCTCTTTCAGTTATTTTTTACCAATGAGCAGTTGTGTTTAATAGTCGAGAACACTAATATATACAAGCAAGTAAAGGGTAGGGTAGGTGGTCAGGTTTGGAATCTGTTAACTTTGAATGAACTGAAGATTTGGCTTGGACTGATAATTTATATGGGAGTTCATCATATTAATGCGATGAATGATTTGTGGAATCGAGATGATAAAAAGGTAAACCATGAAATTAAAAGGTTTATGTCCCTATATAAGTTCCAACAAATTAAAAAATTCTTCTATATTTCAACACAGGTCAAACTTATCCACACTGGTACTCAAAGGTAAAACCTTTCACGTCGCACATTCAAAGTGTAGTTATAAAATATTATGTCTCTAGCTTGCAAGTATCCATTAATAAAATAATCATACGTTTTTTCGGGCGAAGTGTATACACAGTAAGAGTAAAAAACAAACCTACTCTGGAGGAGTATAAAATTTTTTCTCTATGTGACTATGATTATACATGAGCATTTGTGTTTTCTTCACGAGTCAAAAAAAATAACTTAATAGAATCTATTCCTGGACTTAATAATACTGATGTTTGGTCACGTATTTGGCTAATATGCTTCTTAATAATAAGATGTATCACATATATATAGACAATTATTTTTCTAGTATCCCACTTTTTGAATATTTATGAGAAAAGGGTATTGGTGCTTGTGGCACTGTTTGTACAAATTCATCCAGGTTTTCTAAAGAATTAAAATTTAGTAAAGAAGTGTCATTAGATTAAAATACACTCTTGGGAAAAGTAGTTAATGATGTTTTGGTTATTTTTTGGGTAGATAATGGCTCTGTGACTATGCTGACTACTATTCATGAAATTTTTGGTGAAGATTGGAAAGTTATTCGTAACAGGCAGTAACCCTGTGAAACAAGTTCCAATGCAAATACGGACCGTTGAGTTTTTGGAGATAGATATCAAAAAGAATTGGAGATCCCGTGAGTAATTGATGACTACAACTATTACATGGGTGGAGTTGATATTGCCGACCAACTTCGTGGATATTACAACTGTCAGTTGACAGTTAAACGAACATGGCTTCCTTTATTTTTTTGAATTCTAGATACTTTTCTTGTAAATTGTGTAATTATTTATCATAAAGCAACTAATTCGAATATCTCAAGTAAGGAATTTAGAGTTAATTTAGTTTGGGATTTGATTAGTGAAGCTTTAAACATTGGAAAAAAAAAAGGAGCCTCAAGACCTTCCAACATCATCAAAATGAAAATGAATCATCATAAATAAAAATTTTAAACTGCTTTTAACTTGCTTAATAGAGGGAGACCATTTTGTCAAATGGAAAAAAAAAAAGGTCTTGCGTTTATTGCTGTTATTTGGCACAATGTGGCAAAAAGGCTATTGATTATGATAATTCTCCACAAAGTAACCTCTGGTGTGTTAAGTGTAAAGTACTATTATGTTGCTCTAAAGAAAGGCCAACTTGTTTTAGAGATTTTCATTTAAATAAAGATTAAGTTTATTGAATTAATTAGTATTCTTGGGTAACGCATACTTAATTGTTAGGCAGTTGTGCATTTTTATCTGTTAAAATTAAAAGTTCTAACTTGTTATCCAATGCCTTAATAAAAAAGGATCGCTTCAGATCTATTTAATGATTGGTGCTATCTAAAATTAGATCTGACAAAAGTTTATTTTATTACTTTTACGTAATGTCTAATCCACAATCCAGATATTTATTCAAATGAAAATACAAAGTGAAATATTACCTTTTTAGGTTTTAAATTTTCTGAGTCTGCATGATCGTTATGTAACAGTAATACTATAATCGTTATGTAACTGTAATATTAAATCCTATTATAGTAAATAAAAACCCAGAATGTTTATTGCTATGTAACATCAAATTTTCCAGGCAAATTTGCCTGGAATATAGTTCAGGATGATTTTTAAATACTACAAATCTGATTTTTTAAAAAAAACTAGTAATATGAAATTAGTTTCCAATATCTTATTTAAAGTAAATTTTCCAGGCAAATTTGTCTGGAAATGATCTACAAATTAAGTGATAATTTATTAATAAAATTATAAAAAATATTGTGATTTTTAAAAGTTTGCTTAGTAAATCTTTTTTTAACTTCTAAATAAAGTTGCAAAAGAGTATTTTGTGATCATAATAATAGTTAAAGTGTTAAATATGGCCTAGTAGATTATGAGATATAAGTATTTTAATCTTTGTGACTCTATATTTTCTTCTTTATATAAATAAAAAAAAACAAAAGTCACAAAGACTAAAATACTTATATCTCACAATTTACTAGGCTGATTTTAATATTTTAATTACCATTTAGATTAAAAAATACTTCTTTATATTTTTATTTAGAAGTTGAAAAGTTTGTTTAGTAAAAAAATAGATTTCTTATTCAAAAATAATTATATCTTTATATTTTAAAGAATTTTACTTTATATATAAATAAAATATAAAAATATATTTTATATATAGGGTAAAGTCAATAGAAATAAAACAAATTTATTAGATAAATTTGTCCTATTTCTATTGACTTTATCTTATATGTTTCTAGAGTACAAGTTCTTTTTCTCTAATTGATATTCTGGCAATTCAGCTAGTATATTCCTCTACTAAAGGATCTGGTTGCTTGGTTCTCTGAACTTAGTTTCTGGCTTCAAATTCAGTCTTCCTATAACACTGTTAAAGATTATGCTATCTTCTAGCTTGGAACTTTCTAAACAGATTTTTGGTTATTCTAATTTTTTAAATTTATTGTGCCAAAGCTCCTATTCAAAATAGTGTAATCAAAATTACAGATTTCTAGATCCAACTAATTGTCAATAGCTGTTAACTATATCACAGCCCTATTTTTTAAAATCATTATTTGTGGAATTTAAACTCTAGACCTGCCACTTGAAGGTGCAACAACTCCACTACTTTACTAAGTTGCCACATCCTATATTTTAAATAATTAAAAATATAGATCAGAGATATATTTATAGTAATTATATAGACAAATTTGCCTGCAAATTTCTACTAATTAAGGGATATGTTTTGTTGTTTAATTTTAATTTTTTTCTTAAACATGTTTAACTACTACTTTTCTCTTTTTAGATAGGTTTCAGAATTTTTTCATTACTTCTTTATATAGAACTATGCTTCTAGTTTTTGTAAATACTATATATTTTGTCAATTGATTTTGATTTCTTTCTTCTCTTTTCAAGTAGGTTTTGAAATTCTCTTTATCACTTCTTCATATAAAATTATACTTTTAGCTTTTGTGAATACTATATATTTTGTTGTATATTTTGTTGTTTTATTTTAATTTCTTAAACATGTTTAACTACTACTTTTCTTTTTCTAGATAGGTTCTGAAATTTTTTTCATTGCTTCTTTATATGAAACTATACTTCCAGTTTTTATAAATACTATATATTTTGTTAGTTGATTTTGATTTCTTTCTTGATTATACTCTTCTCTTTCCAGATAGGTTTTGGAATTCTCTTTATTGCTTTTTCATATAAAATTATACTTCTAGCTTTTGTAAATACTAAATATTTTGTTGTTTTATTTCAATTTCTTTTTTAAACATGTTTAATTACCACCCTTCTTTTTCTAAGTAGGTTCTGAAATTCTCTTTATTACTTTGTATAAAACTATGCTTTCAGCTTTTGTAAATACTATATATTTTGTTAGTTGATTTTGATTTCATTCTTGAACATATTTAACTACAACCCTTCTCTTTTTAGGTGGTTTTAAAATTCTTTTTGTTGCTTTTTTATAATAAATTATACTTCTAGCTTTTATAAATACTATATTTTTGTTATTTGATTTTGATTTCTTTTTTGAACATGTTTAACTACACTCTTCTCTTTCTAAAATAGTTTCAGAATTCTCTTTATTACTTCTTTATATAGAATTATACTTCTGGCTTTTGTAAATACTATATATAGTCAAACCTCTCTAAGTGCACTCTCTATAAGTTCACACTCTTTCTAAATGCATGCTTAAGAGCCAGCCCAAATATATACTTGATCTCTATAAATCCACTTTTTCTTATTATTCTCTATATGTATATTACTAAAGTGTGGTCTCAAAGATATACACTTAGAAAGGTCTAACTATATTTTGTTATTTGATTTTGATTTCTTTCTTGAACATATTAAACTACCACCTTTTTCTTTCTAGGAGGGTTTTAGAATTCTCTTCATTGCTTCTTTATATAGAATTATACTTTCAGCTTTTGTGAAATACTATATATTTTGTTGTTTGATTTAAATCTGTAATAATTATTAAAAAATAAAATTAAAGTTTATGATTCAAACTATATAATTAGTGTATTATAATGTAATAATCTTGTCAATATCAAGTAAATATCATATAAATATTATAGGTTAGGATTAGATTATGTTAAAAGAGTGTTCAAATTAATCAAGTAATTATATGATTCTAATATTAATCAAAAAGCATGTTTTTATATGACTAGCTAGTTAATATAATGTATAATAGTATATAATATTTTTGTATAATATTATATAATTAATAATTGTGCAATATTATATGTCAAATCATAATTATTGTGCAATATTACAAACCATAATATCTTATATAAAATTATGTTTATATATTTTACTAAATAATTTATACAAGTGATTATATAAAAATTATATAACTATTTAATTTGTATACAAACAAAAAAAATAAATCATATTCAAGAATAAGAGCTCAGACTAAAAGCTCACCTAAAATCTACTA